GGTCGCCGTAGGTTGTAGGTTGTAGGGAGATTCGAACTGTAGACCTGTAAGGTAGGAGTCCAAGTAGAGTCCAGAGGCCTAGCTTTAGTCCTTCTAGAAGGTCGGCAAGTGGTCAAGTGGTGAGTCTAAGGTAGGCCCACGTTTTCAGACGAAGACAAGTGGCAAGGTCAACAGGTAGGACCTCAGTGCAACTGCACTGAGTCGACGGTACGACTGCCTACAGACAGGAGAAGGGTCTAGAGAGTCCCAGTCCAGTCCAGCAAGTACCACAGGGGGACTGTGAGCACCAAGGGCCAATGGCAAAGGGCAGACCAACGAATTTCTGAAGTATAAATCAAGAGGCAACACCCAGCCATTCATTCATTCCTGCGTGAGCCATGCGGAAGCGCTGCCACAGCGACTTGTGCAAGGAGGTCTGCAGATGAGCCCGGAGGACGCAGTGGGCAAGAAAGAAGGAGTTAGCATAGCGATAGGTTAGAGGCAGCCATAGCTGCCATAGCTATAGTTAGTAGTGAGTGCGTGTGTGTGTTCGAGTGTTAGAGTGATGCGTGTGGGATATCCAGGGTGATCCAGTGCATGTGAACAGTGAGATGTTTGGGCGCTGAAGTCGCCATAGCCAATTGAGAGTGAACTCGTATTTAAAAGCCATATCTCTGAGTTTTGAGTGGGCGCGTGTCGCCAGTATGCTGCGTTGTTGTTTACATGTATGAAAAGTGTGTTTGAAAACGAGTCTGATTGCACATACAGACACAGTGATACACATGCACAGATACTTAGGTACACCGTGTTACACTGATGTATGGTGGCATAGACACAATGACACGTACATAAAACACACAGGTGCACCCTGTCGCACATGTGTACAGTCACGGTGACGCGTACATAGACAACCTGACAGGTGAAGAGACAAACAGATCAACACAGACTGACAAACAAGCAGACACACCGACACATGGACACAGACAGACAGACAGTAAACAGTATAGACACGGATAAAACAGAGTCTGACATAGACAGAGCAAAACTCGAACATACGGGCAGATACAGAGAAGTAAACAGACAGGAAAACACAGACAAACAAACTGGCGGACGGATACTGATAAACAAACAGACAGAAAAAACACAGACAAACAGTGGAGGGGAGTGGGCAGGCAGCCAGACGGACACAGGTTGTCAATCAAGCAGGCGCTAACACACAGACACACAGATGTATACACAGTCAGACACGCAATCAGATACATAGGCAGAAACACAGACAAAAACACAGATGACCGTAAGTCTGAGGAATTAATCTGGCACAAGGCCACTTCATTAGTGTGTGTGTGAGAGGGAAAGGGAGAGAGAAGGATGATGATGATGATGGTGTGAGGGCACATACCTGGTGTTGACAATGGTATGCATTGGTTGACATCTTCAAGAACTTCGTTGGCTGCTAACGTCAGTAGTTGCATTGACAATCAGTAAGCAGGAAGTGTAGTATAGGAAGTAGGTTGGGCACCAAGTACGGAGAAGGGTCTGTATACCTATGTTGGTGGAGGTGAGAAAACTCTCATTTATATTTGATTTGCAGTGTTACGATTCCCCATTTGTGTCATATTGGTGAAGTACTGCTTTCTGGACACGGTGATACGATCTAACTTTTAACGTGATTGTGCAATCTGGGTAGTGCAATCTGGGTATTCTCATCTTACCATTATTATTATTACTATTATTATTATTATTATTATTATTATTATTATTGTTGTTATTATTATTGTTATTATTATTATTGGTAAGTTGTCCGTATTTGAGTGAGGCTATAACAGAAGGAAAGTTAAGGGGGAGGGAATGTTGCTAGAGAAAGAGAGAGAAAATGAGAAAGATCTAGAGAGAAGGAGGAGGAAGAAGGGGAAAAAGGAAAAAGGATCAGACAAATCAGACAGGCATTGACAGACGAACATGAATCAGACAAACAAAAACAGACATACGGACGCACAGACGCACACACAAAGACTGAATGACGGATACTGATAGACTAACTGACAAATACCGACAAACAAACACAGCCAGTCAGTCAGACAAACAAAGATAATCAGCCATACATAGACATAAGCAAAACAGACAAAAATCGAAGCGGGCAGTCGGGACGGGCAGATTCAGGAGAGAGAGGTACAGTCGGACAAGACAAACAAACACAGATAAACGAACAAACAAGGATAGACTCAGACAGAAACAGACACACAGATACATACATACATGTAGATAGTCAGACGAACGGACACAGAGACAGAGAAAGAGACACATACACACAGAGATCGAAACAAGTGAAGAGAGAGAGTGAGTGGGGGAACGAGATTGTAGGTGAGATAAGATACGTACCTGGTGCTTGAGGCGATCGACATTGGCCAAGATCTGCCCGTACTTCGGGGAGATGCTGATGTCACCAGCGGCATTGTAGATAGTCTAGATAAGATCTGTCGTTCGTAATCTGGGAGCTGGGCGCCGGATAGATTGTCGACATTGGTTCTTTGATGAAGAGACTGTTTCGACAATCACTTCTGAGCTTTTGCTGAATTCTTAGTTGATGAAACTCGTGATGCAATCCTGCCTTTTTAATACGGGGTCACGACTGTCTGTTTCCATATGTATGATGCTGCTTGGTTTCTGATGTCCACTACAGTTCAATGCTTTTTATGAGTGCGGATATTATTATTATTATTGTTATAATTATTGTTATTATTATTATTATTATTATTATTATTATTATTATCATTTGTGTTCATAATTACAAACAGACTCGCCTTCGTTCTCACTTCACATGCATGCGAACAGGCAGTATATCAAACTGGGAACAAACGCCCACTAAAAATTCAGAGATATGGAAAACGAAAAACACGGTTCAGATTCAGGTTCACTCCAATGGGCTATGGCGACTCAATGCCCACACAACTCTCTCTGCTCGCATACACAAGATCACCCTGGATATCCCGCACGCGATGCTCCGAACACACACGTGCAGAAGAAGGAAGGAGAGAGAGAAAGGAGAAGAGAAGCGGAAAGACCAGACAGGTGAACAGATACAGCCAGGCCAGGTAAGACAAACAGATAAGACTCTGACAGATGGAAGGGGACGACAGACAAATAGACAACCGGACAGACAAACAGACAGGCGAAAAATATATTGTGACACACAGACAACGTGACGCACACAGGTATTGTAACATGAACAGTAATGCCCACGCAAGTGCACAGTGACACACAATGACACAGTGCACAGTGATGAGCACGGTAAAGCACACACAGTCACATAGTGACATATACACCGTGATGCAGATATACTGTGGCACACAGAAAGAGACTGACATACAAAAAGAAAGAGGGACAGAGAAAGAAAGATAGGATGGAAGAGGAGAGAAACATGTATCTGGTCTTGGCGATGGTCTGCAGAGGTCTGAATCTTCATGTACTTTAGTTCTGCATCTTGCGTCAACAGATGCATTGTCGATTCGGTAGTCGGAGGTAGTTGCATGATTAATAGTCTGAGCACTGGGCACCAAAGTAAGAAGAAGGCTCTAGGTACTTACGCTGCGGAAGGCGAGAATATGTCTTTGTTGGTAACCAGATTCAGCACTTTGATCCTCCAGTAATGAAATATCGATGCGATTTGCCTTTGGACAGTGACGATCTACTAGATCTCAGTGTAATCTTGCATCTGTCATTTTATTACTGCTCAACATAATTATTACTATTATAGTTATTATTTTTTTATCATTAAAAATATTATCATTATTGTTATCATTATTATGGCCATGTGAAAAGAACAAGGAGAGAAGGTCGGCATTGGTGTTGATACCAAGCACGCTGGTCTTCAAGGTGAAGTCATCCTGGTTGCCATATGTTGTAGTCGTAATTGTAGGGGAGTAGAGTAGGCAGAGCACCTGGCGTCGTTTAGAAAGATAGTTACATTGGATACTATAGTTGGTATGGCCTACGGGCTTGGACATTTGCTCATTACTTCATTGTATTGCTCTATTTGGATAGATACTCGATGCATTTGTACTCTGTACTCGTGCACATTTACTTAAAACATTTGTTGATTTCGCAACTTGGTTTTCTACATATCATTCACTATCATATTCCTTACATTATTATTTATTATTATTATTATTATTATTATTATTATTATTATTATTATTATTATTACTATTGATTATTAATTATTTGTGATTATTTTTGGTATTGATCATCATCAGTCAGGGAAAGAGAGGAAGCAGGGCGCTGTAAGGGAAAGGGACACCGTCACCGTGTGGTCGTGTCTACCTCCTCCATCCTTCTCCCTTCTCCCTTGATATGAACCGCTCTTTCTTCTCGTCTTCATATTTATCCAAAGTTATTATTGTGATCGTTGTTGACAGTCTTATTCGTACGCATTATCCTGCGATTCCTTGATTGATTGATGTTAAAGGAAGTGGGAAAGATTAGATTTGAGGGGGTGTGGGGCAATGGAGAAAAGAGAGACATCGTCACCGTGTGACAGCATCTACCTCCTCCATCCGTCTCCGTCTCTACAATGATCTAATCCATATCCTTAGTTATCACAACTCTCTGGAATTGTTTAAATCTCATCAAAGTAAAAGTCTACTCTATGGAAAAGTGTGATCAAACAGTCAGATGAAATAGGGCGATTGCGGGAGCTCTGCCGGAGTTCAGGAGGAACTTTGGAGGCAGGGAACCATAAGGTACGCATGACTCGCTCCCTTCCCGTATCCCTTACTAGTTAACCTTTTTCGTATCCCGTGGCAATGGGTAGGACGTGAGATGCTGAGCAAAGGGGGCTTCTGTATGACATGTGGGATTGGGAAAAACGCTTGGCTGGACCAAGATTTTATATAATTGGGTTAGCAACAGTAACCCGCCTGTGTTGTACACGTGCGTCAGTTACGTTTGATATCATGTTCTATTGTGGGCAAAGAGGGAACACGCAATACGCTCGGGACCTCGATTCGCGTTAATCATAAACTATACTTTATGCATGAATACCTTAAAGCTCACACAGTCCTGAGCGAGTACGTCCATGCTCGTGGCCGTGGTGCCGATTACAGAGTGATCCTGCAAGCGAAAATGATCAACAGAACTTGATCAGACCCAATGCCCTGATCTCCTATAGGAAGAGTGATAAGGGACAAACTTAGTAGTAGTATGCAGAATATGGACGGGTCATACAATTAGGTAAGTGCTTTTGGGATGCCAAAACTGTGTGTGTGGGCTGCCTGAGACGAGAAGCTCTGAGCGATCCTACTTATGTGTGAAAAAACACAGTGTCGGCTTCATCCGGGTTCCCAAGTACCTTTTCACGGTTGAGTGTGTCATAAT